CACGCCCACCCTCACCACGTGACGGAGATCCGGCTCCGCCCACCGCCACGCCCACCCTCACCACATGACAGTGACAGAGAGCCGGCTCCACCCACGGCCACGCCCACCCTCACCACGTGACGGAGAGCCGGCCCCGCCCCCACAGGCCTGTCGCAGCGAGCTCCGCCCCCGCGAGTGGACATGGCCCGGCCACCCTCGGCTCCGGGGCGCTGGGCGGTGCCCTTTGGTCTCCGGAGTCTTCCTGCGGCCTCAGGGCCCTCCCGCAGTCTTTCCACCAGCCCTGCCCCCTGGTCGGGGCGTGGGCGACGGGAGTCCACCCCAGACCCGCGAGGCCCCCCACCGCGGCCTGTCCTGACCCTCCGGGAGCTGGACTGCCCCTTCCTTTTAATTAATCGTAAACGCTCCAGTTACTCCAAGACTTCTTGGTATATTTAGAGCAAGTTGACAAAGTGAATGCACATTTCAGCTGTGAACACCACGAAGTTAAATCAAAGAGCAGGTATTTCAGGTGCGGCGGCCCCGAGTGGCTGCGTGTAAACACACGTGGCCTCGGGCACCTGGGCCCCGTCCAGGCGCGCACCTGACCAGCGCCCGGCTCATGGGTTACAGCTGGACGCGACCTTGGGGGCCCAGGGGGTAAAATAAAGCACGGATGCTCCCACGATCCTGCCACCTGCTTGGAGCTCGGGCACGTTCCCACTGCGCGCCCGGGGCGGAGCCTGCAGCTCCTTGGGTCGCGGGGGTCAGGCGCCCGGCCAGGATCCCTGGCGCCGGAGGTGGCTCGCGGAGGCAGGCCCGCGTGAAGGGTCACGGGCTGTCTGGCCTGAGAGCCGGGTGCGGGTCGATCCCGGAGCCCCAGCGCGCGCAGCCCGGGGGCTGCTCCAGCCTGGCCGCACGCGTCAGGCACAGACCTTAAACCGCTCCCTGCGGCTGCAGGAGGCGGCTGGGGGACGGGGTGTGCAGAGCTCCGGAGCCTGCAGAACTGCGCGCAAGGTGTGCCTGGGCAGGGGCCTGCGCGTCCTCACCCACGGAGGGAGTGCTGGGGGGGGGTCCTCACCCTCGGAGGGAGTGCTGGGGGAGGCGCCAGTCCTCACCCACGGAGGGAGTGCTGGGGGAGGCGCCAGTCCTCACCCACGGAGGGAGTGCTGGGGGTGACTGTCCTCACCCACGGAGGGAGTGCTGGGGG